AAGTGCATGAAAATCGGTCCTATTATGAGAGTCAAAGATGTTGGTCAAAACAAAGAGGTATGTATTGCATAAACGTATGTTTTAATACAATTGTAGCTAGCAACTAGGCAGGTTAGTTTCAACAGTCCCAAGTCAGGAAAAATTTCCACCACTCATAAAAACCATATCGTATTTCTATATACACCTTTTCCGTCAATGCTCAAAACTCATTGCAGAACATCCACCACTGGCTTGGCATTTACATCAGCCAAGGTAGTAATAACCCTGCAGGAACAGGTTCTAACAAATGTATTTAACGACATGTTACAGTGCATTGTGAGGTACAAAGTTAGACATTTTTTAAACATCTGAAGTCAAGCCGACTGCAAAGGTGCCAATTGTGCTGCAAAAGGGTATGCAACATTCAACTTTCATTGGGTTTCTTGTAGAAGTAAGCATATGAGTGCAAAATGCCATCTTAACCACTACAACTGCTCATAAATCATTTGCAATTTCAATATTTAGACAATTACTTTCAACTCCATTAGTAGCAGTGGATTAACCTGTGTGCTTCTACTCCGGTTTGCTCACCATTCACCCTCTGGTTTCTGCCATCTTGATCGGCAACGGCGCACACTTTCCTCAACTCTAAAATTCTTGTGTGTTTATCCTGCTTTAGCCTTCGCAGAAGTGGATGCTGTTGAAGTTGAATTTGAGCAAGCTGCATTTCAGATAAAGAGATGAGGGGATTTTGATCTCAAAACTTGCTTTACCTATGCCATTTTACACTTCAGATTCCCGCATTTTAGGGAAATTGCGATGGGTGACCAATAATTTTTTCGACAAACTACTTTGTTTTAACAATAAAATAAAATATGAATAAAATGTGGCATTGGTGACCCCATGTGCTGGCTATAATTTGGACTCGTCAGAAATACTTGTGGATTTAATTCATACGTAAATGCATTGTAGGGATGCTCTTTTGTACAAAAGAAGCGATTGCAACAAGACGTTATGTAATGTTAGTAATATTATTGCGAAGTGTTTAAAGTTATGCCTTGTAAGACTGAACAACTATGGCACCGATGTTGAGTCTGATCCTCGGTCATTACGAGATGCCAGAGAGGATAATCGTATTTCACAGAGGCTGCTCACACACCTACTAATCTTTCCAAGACTGTAAGTGCTAAAGATGGCTGCAGTTCCAAAAATAGCCCTTTCACAATGCATTTCTCGAATATTCTGCAAGTTCTTGTACTCGAGCATTCTAGAACATGACAGAATTAGTGCTCTTGGCAAGTCTCGCCTGACTTGTCAACAAGTAAATCAATCGACTGATTAAAAGTGTGCTGCCAACAACGGTAATGAAAGTCGCTGGTGTAATGGTCGCGGAAACTTTGATCACAATGGTAACCAGTCATGCTGCAACTTTTGTGAAGTAACGAGTCTGAATTTCTGCTCTCGAGTGTAGGTGACGGAGATGAAAAGAACCGTTAAGCTACAGCCGGTGATAAACAAGGAGAACTTGCATTACATGTCACAAGAAGCAAAAGTACGAACGGATAATCATCAGCTTTGAAGACAACTGCTAGTGCTGCAGCCAGTGGCACGTAGCAAATGATACAAATTATTGTGCAATGTTAAAACTGGAATGTTATTGTTAAAAACTTCCCTCAAGTGTTAACAGTTAAGCTCAGGCGATTCTTGTGCCAAGCACTGCTTCATCATGTTGTGTCGGAGAATCAGCAAACTGAGTAGACTGGAGGGGAACGTGATGCTTACCACATGATCCTTTGGTGCAGTTTTCGCGACTTTCCCAATGCCAAACCATTAACTGTGACTCTGTTCACGTGTTGTGCAAACCCGTAGGCAACTCATAGTAGCACCGTTGATGGACATCTTTTGTGTTGGGAAAATAACACTGAGAAATGCAAAACTTTCTGCTGCACGAAAAATATCCTTGTTGCAATTAGAGAATCCACAATGCACTGTGTGAGAAAGGTGTGCGTTTATAGTGCTCCATTAATAACAAATTTCGAAACGATATTCTGGCATTTTATGAGTGTTACACATGCATGTAGTAAGTCCACAATGATTGCAAATACTTTTCGCTCGAATAAACAGAGTTGGAAACTGACTACTTGACACTAGTCGCTATGTCCTTGTGATACTATTCCCTCCTTTAGTGTCAAGGCGTTTCGTTCACGTCTATACCATTTCATCTAGTTCTTACTTTGATTGATAGGGCTGATCCACTCTGAAATACTTCATTGAATCAATGCCAGATGCAGCGATGCCATAATTTAATAATAATTCTCATGCCAGTGCATAAGAATCACCACTTCTTAAGTAACATTGTGGTCCAAAAGAAGCAGATTGCCATTTATGCCTATAAGCCCTGCCAACTGCAGGTAGCCGTGCAAGGGACATCATTTGCGTAAATTTCCTTCTTCCTGATTATACAAAATTTGATTGCAAGGAACTGCAATGCAATGTTTGAGCATGCATTTGAAAAGTCGATCTGCGATGAGAAATGCTCGCGAGACTGCTATAAAACCCTGGGCATTTCGAAAGTCAAAGCTGTCTAAAAGATGGATGCAGCTTTACCGTTGCGCAGTTAGTTGACATCCGTGTAATGCGTCAGCAGGTATTCATGGGCAATAAGCCATGGCAACAGGAATCACATGAACTCGCCTGCGTTGTAGCTTAATTTCTTCTTCTTCTTCTTCTCTCGTGGTCACGGATTACTTATTTTGCTTGAAGTGTTGGCAACCGGTTTTATAACCTAAATGTGGCTGGCTGATCATATCATCAGAATAGAAGGAAATGCATTTGCACACCGGCTGCAGTATCATATCTGTTTCGTTAATGTCTTAAGTCGTAACGGTGCCTTAGGCATTCATTTTTATTCGTTGTTGTGATATCACGTGCTCTTACAGTGGAAAATAAGTGCCTTTTTAACCGTATCGTAGTCCTCAGATAACTTGCACTGCTTGCATCAAATACGCTTGTACCAACTGGAAATGTAGTTGAATATTCTCGCACAACTCTACTGGCGGTACTACAACTTAAGCGCTTACACTTATAGCACAGACGCGGTGGATATTCATGCGATACCGATATCACATGAAAAATTTCCAGTCGTGACTGCAATTCCACCAAATCGGAGAGTTTTTTTACTTCTTTGCATGAACCAAGCATTCTTTCATGCTCAAACTTCTTGGACCACACTTAAATTCGTCCTTCATTGAGGTAAGTGCAATGACAAAATGACTAGGCCGTTACTTCATTTTAGCGCAAATAATAAATTGCTGCCACCTCACACCAGTAAAACTGGGAAATGACGCATAGTCGAGGTTAGTCATCCAACTCACGGACGGATTAACACGTTTCATGTGTAGGCACACACGCAACCTCCTCCAACAGTTCATATTGAGTTGTTTTCAGAGCTGGAATTACATCCTCACCATGGCAGTACTTCCTCAGAATTATCGGTAGAGTTGTATTTCCCATGGCGGTGAAAATCTACCAAACGATGTAAGTCACGGTGATTTTAGTCCATCACATCTACCTCAGGACGATAAACGACTGTTATTGCAAAATCCAACCAAAATGTTATATGTAGCAGCATATTGCAAAGGAGTGTGCTTCATCCGCATTTTCAATCAATTAGGCAACTGCGGTTGTTAAGCAGCAATAGACAAAGTGCTTTGATAAGCATATTAAAGAAAGCTATGCTTTGGTACAGGATCAATTCGATAACGAGTTTTATCTGCAATTGCGAAACAAAAATGTATTTGTTTGCTAAAATTGGTAGTTACTGCCCATAAATTGGCCAACATTGCACGCATTTCTAGTCCAGAAGCAGAGCGCTTTTGATAATCTCAAGAGCCGAATTCACCGTTGTCTGTGCATCTTCAGATGAGCCAAGCGATGTATTGACCTCGGCTATCACCATAGATTTCAACCGCCCTAAACAGCAAAGTGCATGGATATTGTCCTCATTTCTATGAAAAGAAAACATACAAGGATTCTAGGACGATCTCCTGACCCTCCACACTTTACTTGTGTTTTACTGAATGCATCACATGGCGCCTAAATGGCACCCTCCATTCCGCCACGTACTAGACGTCCAGCACATCGCTATGCTATCTTTAATTGCTTATGCCTCTCATTCACGCCACTAACCGGAAATCACGGCTCTCCGCTAGACGTACTAATGCAACATTTCTAGCGCAGCTTTAGATATGCTACTAAGCTAATAATGCTGATTAACTCCAGTATGTAGGGCTTGGTCTTGCATTATTATTACACATAATTGCTCTAATATGTTTGCCGTAGCCGAATCGACGTCATTACTGACAATGCAGTTAAGGCATGAGCTCAAATGTCGACAATGTCAACCTACCCGTCTGGCCAAGAGTCCTGCAAATATACTTGCCCTCCTCCAGTGAGAGACCCCCAGGAACGGGGGTTCCTGTGCTGGGAGCGTACTTGGGATCCAAGCAGTCGATGTCGAAGCTCAGGTGGATTTGACAATTGGGACTGCAAAAGAATCTTATTTTTTTGAGATGAAGTTTTTGCTATTCATTCTCTTCGCAAACGATCACTCACCAAAATCGCATTATGATCTTAAGAGTGATCTCCATGACACTTTCAATGCCTAATTTCTCCACATCATGCATATTGAAGTGCGGAATATTGAGCTCCTTTATGAACTTCCTAAAACAATCGGTAAGCAGTGGGTGTACCTCCTTAGCATTTATTGAAATGAAAGGCTTAACTCACAGCTCTGGCACATCGACATCTCGAAGTCCGATATAAAGGAGTTGGTTAGCCCCAAGACTGTAATATAAATGCAATCAATGAGCGTCTAGCAGGCCAGTATTGTGAATTGAGATGAGGAGCTCAAACATACACCGGTTTGATATTTTCAAAGCCTTGGGTTTGAGGAATTAATCTGCTTGTTTCAGTGAGAAGAAAGGATAGAGGCATGCCGTGGGTGTTTCCAGAATTAGAGCTCTCAGGAGTGTTGATATCAGGGTGTGCGTCAACCCAGACAACGAAGGAGTTGGGGAAAGCTTGCAGTTGACCAGCAATTGATCCAATTCCGATGGTGTGGTCGCCACCCAATATAAGCGTCATATCGTTCTCACTTACACTTTTCGCCACACGTTCGGTCAGCTCCAAAGTAGTTTTCAACAGTGCTCGCTGATTCCTGCAGTTTAAAATCACATCCGGTTCACGATCCTTTGTTTGACCGATATCTCCATAGTCATTAACTTTTGCACCTAGTATTAGGTAATAAAATGTTAGCGTAATACATGCTTTAAGAATTTGGTCAAGTCAAATTGCTGATGTTGATCATGAATGATTTTGCAAGTGTAAGATAAAAAGTTGAAGGCAAATTCAAAATTAGACCAGCAGACGATTTACCCAATTTATTCAAGAGCACTTTAAGACCGCATTCTCGAATCTCCCTCGGTCCGTTCTGAACTCCATCCTTTGTCTGGCCCTTGTCGACGGCTGCTCCCACGATGCCCAAAGAGGAGACCCGATTGCCGAAACTGTTACCCATGACGCGAAATTTCTAATGCGCTTGGTGTCAGCTGTGATTGCATTTTGTACCCTATGCGTTTCAGCGCTCTGTGGCTGTGAAGATGCTCTCGCGCACCAGCTAGACTGCTATCTTTGCGCATTTGTAATAAGAATTGACTTGGATACGCTACTGGTCTCTCGTACAGGCGTGTCTTGGACGATGGCATGACTAAAGCGTTTGGACCAAAATTTAAAAATCAAACTCCCGTTTATATCACATAGATTTCGTTCATGATTTTTTCCTAAACAATACCCAAACTAGTTTTGATTGTTATCTACAGAATTATTTTACACTGTATGATTTGCAATCCAAATGCGATGTTGGATCCACTTCTGCTTGAGCAAAGTAATTTCGTCAGCTGAATAATACTGCAATTTGACGTTATTTTAAAGGCATATGAAGATAGTGAGTATTGGATTGACTCTTCCGCTTCGTGGTCAATGCGTACAAATGCGGTTACTAATTTCACTTGCCTTGATCCTGTGAAGATAAAGTACAAAATTGGTCAATCGCAAACCTTCTCCAACTCCTTCCC